TGACCCTCCTCTTCTCTCGTCACCACCTACACAGCATTCTGTACATCCATAAAGAATATATCATTACATCTTACTCGACTGGCTGATGAATGGGGTAAACGAACTCAAATGTACAGCAAGGTAACAATGGGCTCAACGCAATGTAACTTGCTCTCAAACGCGAATCACGGAGAGGTGGGTCTCGTCATATTCAAGTTTTCTCACGAAATGTGATGCTCCTAAAACATGGCTCCTAGTAGAACGACGACTGCAGTCTCTTCGTCTCTTCTCGACAAGCACGAGCCTCATCATAAAGCACTTGTGAGGCATAACTTAAGAAGTACCAATTACATGCTTTAGGTTTATTTCGCATCTCCCCGAGTGACAACCACACCCAATCCTCTTTCACCTTCACACGAATTAGTCACGTCACTGTGGAATGGGAATTTCACAATCCTCATAGACGTAAATTACACTACTTTTTGCAATTTATTTCACCCATTGCAACATCATTGTTGGGTCGCGTTAATTTTTCTTTCAGTTGCTTAAACGTGTTCTCGAAAAACCATTTGTATCGACTATGTGAAGGAATTGTGAAAACCTTAAAAATTAGGTTAATAAAAATTCCAAAGGCTATCAATTCTAAATGTAGGTTTTGGTCAGGGCAGGTGAAACGCGACAGTACTTACTCGCACGTGATATCGAATGCGATTCTCTCCGGCTTCAATGGAGGGCTCAGCGGTATCAGGAACCTTCAGCTCAAGCGTGCATGCCGCTTTACGGTTGGCCTCGGCCATGAGACGCTTGTCATCCATGCTAGGACGCAAGCGACCATTGGGTGTGTTATTCGTAGCCGAAGGGGGGAATGTGTCGCCCACCCTCGAGACGAAGGCTCTGTTAAACTTGTGTTTCATTCGTTGCTTGGAGCACCGGTCGAGGAGTTCAATACTCGGCGACTTTTTTTCCATTATCACATCGCTACTGTCAGAGAGGCCGATCTCCGGTAGGTTGGTAGAACTTATTAGCTCTGCATAAGCGCCATGCACCGCATTCTTATTGTCCGTATAGATTGTAATACGTATTGTGTCCTTTGGTAATAAGTGCTTTTTTTCCACCTACAAACGATACTTCTTACTTCTTTGACTAAGTTGTTTTTATCATTTTAGACGTAGAAGTGACAACAATAATGCGAAAACATCAAAGCTTTTCTGAAGTTGCCAAGTTCCTGACTATTTGATCATCTTTTTACACTTCTCCAAACTAGCAAAACGAGTCAGCTACATTAAATAATTTGTCACCTTGATATACCTTTAGTTCGAAGGAAACTTCTAAATATAGTATTTTAAACACCAATATGCACATGAATTTACAAGATTAGCTATCCAAGAATTGTCCTAAACTCTAACTAGTATTTCATTTTTTGTTTAAACCTAATGCGGAGGTGAGTGCTTCAACTGAGGAGGGCACCCACAATGATAATTGCATTGGCGTCCTTGTAGTCCAGCTTGACCAGTTGAACGCATCCTGGCGCATACGACCCGTTGACGACCGGAGGCAAACCACCACAACTGACCACCTCCAGTGGCAGCTTGTCACTAAGCAGAGTCAAAAGCGCGCCACCGCTTGCCGGTTGAGCATCAACCTGCACCGACACGCAAGTGCTAAAATTCAATCGTCAACGTAAATATCCCGCGTGGCAAGACAAAAAAAGGTAGTATAGGACACAAGTCCCAGCTGTCATTCCACTAGTCTATCTGGAAATGCCTGGGCCAGAGTTCTGAAAGTGAATTTCATAAATTTGGTAAATTTCAATTTTGTCTCCCATTAGCATCTTGTGCTTCTTAAAAGGCGAGCGATTGCACCAAAAACGTCAGAGGAGGGTTCCAATATGCACAAATAACAAAATGAATTGTTTACCGTGTAAAAAATTATAGATCTACTTGTAAACAAATGTTCATCAAGACGATAGAAATTGATGGCAATTGCAGGTTGCACTTGGTAAAACCTTCAAGTATATTCTTAAGTCCTGGGCTTTGCCTATCTAAGAAATTAGAGCAACTGCCTCTCATCTGAGCATTTGGGGTTCTTACTGGTGATTGACTTCAGCTTTTTGGCGATGTTCCCCTTTCCGCTTGTAAGTTACGGTGGGATTGACCTCCGGGGGAATACGAACAGCAAAAGGGATGGCGTGTGTTCCCTTACTTAGGACTACTGGTCCAGCGAATGGCCACTCCAGGTAGTCCTGATCAAAACAGTCTTCTGGCAACTGGTGACTTTCAATGAGGTTGTCTCCATCCCAAATTTCGGTTATTGCCTCGTACCGTCTAGGATCGCGTTTGTTGGCATTACCCGTGGAGGACACAATTTCCCTTTTGAAGGAATCAACTTGCTAGAAATAATAACACATCGATTTTTATGGAGGCAGCAGTACTGTTGACCAACCCTGTCTGCGGGAGTTCTAACTAAAAGTGATTTTTTGGTTGAACTGTTCAAGACCTGTAATGACCGGCATGTGCATACCTAGGCGACAGTAAACGGTTTTATAGTCATTCCGCCCGATACAGCACCTTGGGCAGCACTCAATCAGACAGTACTTTTGGGCCCCATAACTTGGAGCTTAAGCTCACATGCCGTTTGCTGAACAAA